AAGTTGTCGACGGATTTGATCGTGTCTCGTTATTTTTTCTGTATAAAAGGGAGATAAATGCCACGTATTTATCGGCGTAGTTGTTTGGGGAACGTTCCGTTTCGCTCGTAAAAGTTCGTTATTTAGCTGTTCAATTAGGTTCCCACTACTAGCGGGATTCTACTTTATGGTCTATTGGCCGCATTTCTCTTATTCGTCCCTGCGAGTGTATCTGACCTTTTTGATAGTGACCGTTAAGGCGAAATACCCCCGAAAACGTTTTAGCCTTGGCGCCATAATCAGAAGATAGGGAGGGTAAGTATAGAAAGGTTTTGGGTTAATTCAATTTACAGAAGTCTTCGTTAATTTTGGGATTTTCACCACCTTTAGAAAACTACTTACAACAGTACTTTGAAAGAAAAAATATTCTTCCAAACTGGCCACTGTTGAAAATTGTTTGAAGATATGCTTTGAAAAACTATCGGTTTGAAGACTTTCTCTAGTTTACTTTCTACTCGGGTAGTAAATTTGACACTTTTGCAGATGCGGTTCTCAGCACTTTTGTGTGAAGCGAAGTAACAAAAAATGACTTATCTTTTTTTGGCAAATTTTATAATCAGTATAGTTGGACGACCGTCACTATTATACCGAGTGACAGTGGAATTACTAGTCAACCAATAACTGTATAAAATAAATTGAATGAATTTATATTAGAGATGTTATGTAAATACAGTATGCCTACATTTTGAATTTGAATTGCACTTCCGATTTTACCGGAAGTGATATCAACTTTTTTATTTAAAATGAAACACTCTATATATTTTCCATTTTTGGGTGCTACGGGTAAATGCAGGTAGGAAATGTATTTTATCTTTTTTTGACAGCTGTAATAGTTTTGCACATAATAGGGTTCAAAAATTTAAACATTTAAATAACGGTCATAATTCCAAGATATTATCTAGATGATAACCCAGGCAAAACCTAGATTGTTAAATACCTACATAGCTACAATTGAAAATAGTAAACAATGTTGAATTTAAATTGACTTATAAGTTTAAATCGCAGATATTTGGAAAAGTAATGGGTATACATAAAATCGCTTTATTACATTTTCGTTGGAAGTTTTTGCAAAATGTCTAATTTTCAGTATTTTTTCGGTAAAAGCGAAAGTTTTTTTTCCACTTTTGTCAAATGATTTTCTCAAAAAAAAAAACATTTAAATAGACTGAGGAAAAATGACAAATTGAAATTATTGAATGCTATCAGAGCCATTGCAAAAAAAGATCATTTTCTACTCGAATTTACCAAATACGAGAAATGTATATAACATGAAATTTACAAAACACTTCTAAATTTAAAATTCATATTGTTTTTACAGAGTGATCGCTTCGTTAGTAATTTCATTGACAATTGGTATATAATTTAGGACATTAACTTCTTTTAAACCAGTTCACTATTTCCATGCTAGCATATACACATTTTAAATTCATATAGCTATTAATATGAAACAACTAATAAAATAATCTTGAGAAGGTCCAACATGGCCGCTGACAGATCGTCAATAAGTTTAGATGCAGCGCCAGTATAATATCTAATACCTATTTGGTTTAACTCGATTACTTTGGGGGTGCCCCATTTAATAGGACTACTAATTAAAATATTAAATAGAATATTCTGTTTTTGTTTGTATTTTTATACTATTTTTGAAATACCTAAACTAATGTCATAATGAGCCTTCTCTATTGTCTATTGATAATCGTTTTGCAGAAATAAACAACTGAAAATCGGAATTGCTAAAATACCTCTTAGTCCACCTCTGCAAATTTAAATTTGGTAAAGCCACATGATATTAAGCATCTACATTTACAACCGCTAACGTGACCCTGTATCATTAATGGTTTAAGAGTTACCCACACAATCCCATCCGAAAAGCTGATAAAATTATCGGTCTATAGAGTCTATTTTTAGTCTTTGCCTTTGCTAAACAAGGGTTAGGTTGGAAAATTTGAAAAATGAATATTAATTTCGGTGAGGCCAAACTAATAATTTTAATTGTTGTTACTTGTATATTTATTATTTTCAGCACAGTTATAAGTTTAAACAATAATTTTATTCGCTATTTTTTTAAAGAACCTACAGTTTTAAACGCTAAAATAATTGCTAACGCTTAGTATGAGATTACCATAGATATTTAGAGGGTTGTCAATTTACATTTCTGCCAATAATTTAATGTTAACCCATATTAGCCTTGCATTGCCATATGGTAACGCTGCCACTTTTATATGTAAAGCAGGCTATATGTCGTAAGTAGCATTAAAGTTGATAGATGGCGCTGGTTTTCGATTTTCATAGAACCAAAACAAGGGTCTGATTTGTGATTTTCAATGTATTTAATTGTGTCTATGAATTACGGCGGTTTAAAAAGTGGTCGTCAGTAAAGTGAGTAAAAACATGGAACCGAACTTCGTGTAAGTATTTTAAATAATTAATTTATTATTATTATTAACAATTATCATTTAGATATCATAGTTAGGTTAGGTTATTTTTTGCGTTACCGTATGGTACCGCTAGGCCGATACACTACCTAGTTATTTCATTTTTGAATGTTTTGTCGCCTAATTTTTTGTTTTTTCTTGTGTTACCGACGTGGTTTTACATTAGAGGATGCTCTAAGGATGGTGTATGAAGAAGATCTCGATGCCGAAGCTAGCTACGTCGAACCACCCGCTTGTAACTTACCGATGAAGAATCCGGTGATGAAGATGACGAAGGCGACATAGATCATCTACCGCCTCGTCAACTAGCGGCACAAGCGGAACTGGTTTTGCCTAACAATGAGAGGATTAATCGCCTGCGTCAACGAAGTGATAGTGATATTGATAAAGACATGACATCAACTGAAACCTGAAATGAAAAAGAAAATAGAAAAACAAAGCTACAAAAAAAGAAGAGAGGAAATTTTCATGAATCAAAGGAGATATCGAAAATAACTGCTGTCGAGATTTTCCAATCCCAGATTACTCTGAATATGTGAATGTGACCTATGCTCCCTCGTTATCAATCAATCAACCAAATATACAGCTTTTCGGAATTGGTCCGATCCTAAACTCACTGCGGAAGAGTTAAAATGTACATTGGCAATCCTCATTTTGAGCGGATACGATAAATTACCAGGAAGGAGGTTTTATTGGAATTCCCAAAACGATATGCTATGAGAAGAAACCGATTTTGCATTTTGCAAACAATGCTAACCCTCGTAACGTTGACAAAATGTGGAAACTACGCCCCCTTATGGTCAAATTAAAACACAGTTTCTAAATGCACTTTATTCCTGAACAGAGTCTGGATTACGGTGAGTTCATGATACGCTACTACGGCCATCATGGATGTAAACAATTTATTCGAGGAAAGCCCATAAGATTTGGCTTCAAAATGTGGTCCCTCAATACAACCTCAGGATATCTTGTCAATTTTGATTTATATCAAGGCGAAGGGCCAAACTCAAACGAAGAGGATGACGTTACCTTCGGGAAGACTACGTCGCCATTACTGCGGATGCTCAGGGAGTTTCCAGAAAATAAGAAAAATGTACCGTATCAACTTTATATGGACAATTTATTCACAAGTGTCAATCTTCTGAAAGAATCATTTGAAAGAACAAGGATATGGGGCAACCGGAACGATGAGAGTCAACAGAATTCCAAAAAATATCCCATTACCTAATAAAAAAACCTTTGCAAAAAATGCTAACAAAGGAGATTTTGCCTCAATAATCGACAAAAATAGCGGCATTATATTTGTAAATTGGTTAGATAATAATGTTGTTAGCATGGCCTCTACCTCCTGTGGAGTAGACCCAATTAGTCAAGTGAAAAGGTACTCCCGCGTTGAAAAAAAAAACACACAAGTCCAAACCTAATTCGAAAATATAACAAAATATATGTCAACTTGAGTTCAGGCGTGAAATTGTTATGTCCTTCCTATAACGCCATGGAATACCTCCTAAAGGCCCGGGTCGTCCAGCAATATCCAAAACCAGCCTAACGTTAAACAGAGTAGCCGATGATATCAGGTATGATGGAAAAGGACACCTTCTTATCCGAATCCCGAATAACAAAAGGCGACGTTGTGCAGGAGAAGGCTGTTGCTTTAGTGGACGTAATGTGTAATAAGTGTGAGGTTGGTCTGTGCGTTCATTGTAACTTGATTTTTCACTTTCCGTAACCTTGTTATCTGTGAGATTCTGCTATTTTTTGTAATGTGCTTAAAGAAAAACTCTGTTTATTATTTAGCCGTTTATAAGCTAATAAAATTTCACTCTTTTTAAAATTTACCTTTTACCTATTACTTTATTTAAAGCCCAGCGTTACCATATGGTAACATCATATTTCTACAAATCTGAAAGAAAATTCAGTAAATGCATAGAAATTTTCATATTAGGATGAGCCTAGAAACATATATTTCAACAAAAAACAATCGCTTTATTAAAAAAATTAATTCGGGCTAATATGGGTTAATCAAATTATTATTAACCTTCATGGGAAATGTTAAACGCTGTAAAAAGTGTGCATGTTAGAGTCTCATCTATCTGAAGCGAATCGAAGGAGCGGTTGGTAACGTCTAATTTGAAACCAGAACCATTTGCAGAAGACAATTTATCAGTACTTTGTAGATTCTAGCAGACCTTAACTCAATAAAAAAGCTGCCGGTGGTCGTTAAAAGTTAGGTTCAGGAACGTTCCAAAATTTCGAAGGAATGAAAGAAGCTTGGACCAGCATTCCACTAGAGACTTGTGGGAGTTTAAGTGGAAGAGTTTGAAAGTCTAAAAATACGTTTCGAAGAAGTTTTCTGTCTAAAAATGTATTTACAAAAAATAAAATATTGAATAAAATGATTATTTAAACTTATACATCCTAAAAATAACAATTACATAATATTCGAAATATCTTGAACAAATTTCTTAGTATCAGTAATTAAAATTATCGTAAGCAATTGTTTTAAATTAGGTATGCATATGTATATTAATTTTTATTGTGACTGGGAATGATCGTGAGGTTTTCAAAGATACATTTCCAATTGCAGGGATGAATGTTTGACTTAATTTTCGGCCATTTATACGAGCTTATTCCTGTTGAAAGTGATTTCATGTATAATTTTGGACATTGCCTTTCTCTTTGCCTTTTATTGCAAAATATGAGATTTCTTTCTCCTTTTTTATACAATATGTTTCCGTGTGAGAAAAACAAGGAAATTAATCGGTCAGAAATGTCAGAGTCATTACACATTCTCACATTTTCGAATATCAATAATTTTTATACGCGCATGTCCCGCGAAGAGAAACATCAACATTAAAACAGTACACTTAAGTGCTTCCGATTGGAACGATAACTATTTATAAGCTACTTGGACCACTCAGGATACATATTTTTAATCTCTGGCGTATCTTACACGCGAGCATTGCTATTGTTTGTCGAGATTATAGCTCAAAAAGGTAGACGGAATTCTATCAAAGACCGTTATTGTGTTGGAATGTTAAAAATGTGCATCATTAGTGGTTCTACCTTAGTAGAGACAACGCTTTGCATGAAAAATTTATTAAAAAAGGGAGATTTTTAATTTTAACAGCAATTTTACGGTGCCGCCTATAGTAATCACAGAATTCCCATCATACACATTATGTACAATTTAAAATAAGCTACTTATATCCATCCATCGGTTAGTGCTTTACACAATAAACATATTTCCCTACCCTAACTTACGATAAAAAACTAATCCGTATTTTTTAAACGTTTCTTTGGTTCCCCGTGGTTTGGTTTACTTTTTCAAAAAAATCGTGTGACTTAAAAAAAACGAATTGAGCACAGCACATTTTGGTCATGGCACCCAGACGAATCCTCAATAACACTAGTGATCGCAGAGCTTCCGGTGCGCTCGTTCTTAACTGGCCTGCATGCTCAGCAACTTCTTGAACGCTCTCCGAAAGTCCATATTGAATATGGTGTAAATGACGGGGTTGAGAACGGAGTTGAGGTACCCCAACCACGTGATAAAGTTGATAAGTTTGGACGATGGGCAGCACGAGTCGCAAAACGGCACTATTACGTACATCAAAAAGAACGGCAGCCAACACACCACGAACACACCCATGATGATACCTAGTGTCCTCGCTGCTCTGCGTTCCTTCGACAGGGATATCCGTTGCTTCTCTTCGATGAATTGGTAGACGGCCGGCGGTTTCTTTGGCGGCGGTTCCATAATGATCACCTTCGATTTGCTGTTCGAGTTGATGAGCGTGATGGTGTTTTTGGCGTCCTCGTTCTTCTGCGATTGCGATGAGTTCTCGCCGATATCCGTAACCGAATCTTCGTGGGCTAAAATGGGCTTGGTCTGAGCCTGGTCCTCTTTTTGCTTCTTCTTCGACGATTTCTTCGCGGTTTCGTTCAGTTCGTTGTGATTGGTTTCGCTACTCACGCTGTCTCGGTCGCGTTCTCTCATTTGGTTGGTTTGGTTGCGCGAGATCGCGTTGATCTTCGAGGCCTGCGCGCGTTCCCTAAGTCTACGTCTGGTCGCCACGAAAATTTGAATGTACACTATGGTCATGATCAGTAGGGGTATGAAAAAGGACCCCGATGACGAATAAATGACGTAGCCCTGTCTGGAAGACAGTCTGCACTCCTGCTTTTCGAGGAAGACTTCGTTGTCCGGCCAATCGTTCCAGCCAATTAGGGGCGGGCAAGATATGATCAGCGACAAGATCCATACCGCGGCTATCATGGACAGCACCCGCTTCACCGTCCGTTTCTGGGCGTAGTTTATGGGGTCGGTAATAGCCCAGAAGCGATCCAGAGCTATCGCGCATAGATTTAGTATGGACGCGGTACAACACAGCACGTCCGACGTGAGCCACATCTTGCAGATGTGAATGCCAAAGACCCATCTGCCCAAAACGGAGTAAATCACGTTCAAGGGCAGAACCAGAACGGCCACCGTCAAGTCCGCCACCGCTAACGATACGATGAAGAAGTTTTGGACTATCCGCAGCGGTTTGTAAGTGAAGACCGAGAGGATGACCAGGACGTTTCCGATGATGACGAGCAAGATCAGCAGGGTGAGGGTGAATATCGTCAGGAAGGCCTCCCATTCCGGCACGTCGGTAGTGCCGAACAGGGTCGAGTAGTTGCCGAAATATTCTTCCGGGCAGGTCTTGGAATCACCCATTATTTCATTTTGACTAGGTAGGACACCTGCAAAGAAGAGAATTGAATTAATGTATATTCCAAAAATTCTAAAAGCTTTATAGTCATGAAATTTAGACCGACAATACTTTTGAGTATTTCTAAGTATTTTTCGGGTACAATTTTGAAGAACAACAAAAATTTAGAAATATCTCCCTGATAAAATTGCATATCTCCCCTTTAACAACGCTCCTGTACAGGGCTTTCATTAGGCAAAAACTTTTCATACAAAGTTTGTGTGATTTTTCCTTTATTATCTTCTGAATATACTGATAAAATATGTGAGAACCGCAGATGAATAACAATTTAAAAACTTCGTATTTTGAAGTCGAACATCCTGTATATTTCTACTTAAGTAGTCCTATTAGGTCTTTTTTAACTAGATATATTTAATTATTTATTTGCTTTTTCGGACACAAGCAGGTTAACCACAACGAGAAGAAGAATATGCAAAGCTTAGTTAACAACAATAAAAAAAGAGAAAGAGGAAAAATAAATAAATAACAAAAAAAACAAATAAAAGATTTTATAAAAAAATAAATATAAAAAAGAAAGTAAACAACAAAAACAATATTTGAAATTTAAAAGCGGAACAAATCCAGATAGAGAAGGCAATGAAAATGTTTTTCTTATCTTTTAGGTTTATTCTATTTATTTATAAATAAATGGAATATAGAATTATTCTCCTTATTTGTTTATGAATTTATTTTGTAGTATGCTTTAAATAAGTACAAAAAAAACAACGAATTAGATAACGAATGTAGTAACAAAGAGCAATCATATGAGATTGTTAACAAATCCAGTTCCAAGCAGTGAAGGTTTGCAGCTCTCAGTATAACAATAACGAGAAAATTTTGAGATTTATTGGTGTTGAATGTTCAGAAATGTTAAATGTCTTAGGTCAAAGATAAAGTTAGTTTCATATTCGGCAAGATGTACTCAACTTTTTTGCACTGTATTTTGAACAGATGATTTATAATAGGGTTTTTTTCAACAATTTCATTGGTATTGGTAATTCATACAAGTCTTAAATATATAAACATCAAGAATTTCTCCGAATATGAGGTGGAAAAAGCTCTAAAAATAAACTTACAGATTCAATTCCGGCATTCCTTATAAATGACTGTCGCTTTGCTTGTAATAGTTTCTAATCTATGTCTGAAAAACCAAACCATTTCTGATATATGTATAAAATTGTTACTCTCATCTGCAATTTCTGTAAAGTTTTAGAATCTCTTATATATGACAAAATATTTCATATTACTATGTCCCGGTATATTTCTGGGACTATCGATGACAGTTCTCAAGTGGACATTGATTTTGATTTTTCAAATGGGCAGCTTCGTACTTTTAGATTTTCTGAACCGGTTGTCAATTTGTTTTCTTCATACTTGTCTAACTACACTCAATATGTCTATTTTTATAGTCATAGTACATTGCAGTGTGTTTTACCATTATGGGTGTAGCTGTTAATAACAATCATCATCTTTTTGATAAAACTCTCTCCGTTCTAACATTTTTTGTGACTTGGGAGTAATATTTGACTCGAAATTATTCTTTGTTCCTCATGTTAATGAGCTGGCAGATGTCTCAAAAAGCTATCGATTTATCGTATGTTGCACTAGAGACTTTAATAATAGAGAAGTAATAAAAAATTATATAACTTGTACGTCAGGTCAATGTTAGAGTATGCATCAGTACAATTGTTAATAGCCTGGATAAAATTCAGGTTAAGTTTTTGAAATATAAATACTTTTTGTTATGGTCTCTTAGTAATAGGCATGATTACCATAAGTTTAATATTTTTATTTAGAATTTTAAATAATTCGTTTGATTGCGCTGACATATTTAGAAGATCGAAGTTTTTTATGTTCCCCGTATAAACGCTAATCATAGTAACTCATTATTTCTGCCCGCGCCAGCCACAGATATTTAAACATTCTCATCTAGTTCCTTAATGTGTTCCAAATATAATGCCTTAGTAACTATAAAAATAATTGTTTAACTGTTTTTAATAAATAAATAAATAAGTATATAAATAAACAAAATAAATAAATAAAGAAGCGCCAAAATTCATAACAATCAGTCTAATTTGATTCATAAAATTTATTATAAAAACTAACTAAGTATATATAAATAGTATACTGGGTGAGGCGAAAAAAAAAATACTTTGCTGACAGTAAGACTTTACTAGGCGAAGTGCTCTAATAGACCTATGCATACCAACTAGACAATCTCTGAAAAATTTACTTCAAATTCAAGATAATCCCGATGTTAGTAGCCTTCAAGTAATTAGCTTATGTGATACATTCCAGTCTACCGTTAATTGCACCACCAGAAAACACAAATATAATTACTTCCATATGGAACTACACCAAGAACTTTAAAGCTGTGATTTTGAACCAAGAGTAAACGCCTGCACCGTTATAAATGAAGCAATAGAGGCCGATCTAAATTGTTTGTCTAAAGTAATGTTTTCCGATGAAGCTACCATTCGCAGTAATGGTGCTTTATTATTCAACGGCCAATCCATTCTGGATACGGGAAGTGCAAAGATAAAACCGTTCGTCGCCTAATGTTGTGGTGTGGAATTAAAAACTTTAAAGTGAAACCTGTTTATCTTCTTAATATTGTGTCCGAATTCGGATAAATAAAATAACTCTTTTTTTAATGCTAAAATTGATCATTTGCATTGAGTATTTACATTTGTGAGGTATAGTGTAGTAGAGTATCTATTAGGTAACGTCATTCTCGAAATCTGACCGCCGAAGGGTGTGTCCGGGCCGTCATTTTACTGGAAGACGGATGTAGCATTCTAAAAATTGGATAGAGATTTGGTGTATCGCTTACATCCGTTTCACTTATGATTGAATGTTACAGGAAGGCAGGTCAGCACTTCAGAAGACCTGGTCAAGACAGACATCGCATAATTTTGCCAGTTCAAGTCCCTGTTTTAAGACGGGAGGACTGCTGCAGACACATCTCCAGAAAGTAAACTGCTCGTACTGACTCGATGGTTATTAATAATGACAGTTTAACAGCAAATAGGCACATAACAATATCCTGTGATACCATTTGGCCTTACATGGGTGAGAATTTCTTGTTTCGGCAATGCTCGATCGCATGTTGCACAGATTCTGCAAAATTATCGTAATGAGTATGGAATTGGAATTATGGATTGCCCACCAATCAAGCCTGATCTTAACCCAATTTATAACTTTTGGGACATTTACATCCATAGTTATTTTTGAGAACTTCCTAACCCCCGTAACACTTCGAATGGGCTTACTGGAGATATTGTCCACATATGTGAAAATTTTGATTAAAAAGGAGATAAGGGATATTTATCTCTTTTCTATCTTCTTTTAGAATTTAATCTTTGTTTGGCACGGTTATTAAGTTAGTTAGTACTTAATTTTAATATTTTAATATTTTTTTATTTTAATATTTCTCGAAATATGTTAGTGATGCATTAATTTTGTTGGCCAGTGTATTTTTTAAAACAATACCAACATAAAAAATACAACGTAAACACAAAACTCATATGAAAATGACACAACCATTCGAAATTTTACTTCTCGTGTAGATCGACATTTTTTGCAGCCAGAGGTCTCATTGAATTGAAAACTCGACAATAGTCTCGATCCGTTCGTATCCGTTTAAGGCGCCATTAGAAAAGGTGACGGGGAATTTTTCTATTAAAAAATTCTTCGAGCCATTCAAGTCGGTATTTTCCGGGTTGTAAGGACCGAATTCTCTTATATTGATAGATCGTTGCGGATGGACCAGACTGCGTGGTTTAATCTCTATAAAAGCCGACTATAGATGATATCTTCATTTGCGTTATTTTTAATCCAATTTATGAGGAAATTATTTGTAACACTATAACTGTAAAAAAACATATCTCGCTGCCAGATTGTGGCACCCGCACAACCTGGTTTGTTCAACATTTGAATATTGGACAATAATAAAGTTTGTATTCCAGTTTCCGTTTCAAAAGTCTTTTAACATTTTTAATTAATTATAGATAATAATATATACTTATGAAATCAATATTTTTGTTAATGATTTCACGATATTTCCGACTTTAAATTGGGCATTTTGAGTGATTTTAAAAATGATTAATGAGGTGGTACAATATCTTTTCTTTATCATGCACATTTACCAACAAATGTTTTTTTTTTGTTCGCAGAAGCCATTACCGATTTACATCCACTAAATTCCGATTCTTTTTCTGGAGAACAGTAAGTTTTTTTTGCAGAAATGCATTTGATTTATTGGTCTCCATTATAAGTAAGATTAGACTAAAATATTGCATATACAGATGGATCGTTAGATATTATTTTTTTAAATTTACTCTGTATAAAGTGTTATGAAAATATATACAGGGGGCGGCTATAATGTGGACCAAACTAATTTAAAAATCAGGTATTTTATTTCAAGAAAAATGCTCGCAAATGTACAGTGTAGGTCAAAAAGTATATGTCCATTCTAGAATTCTGCGTCAAATTTCAAGAAGTTGGTAATTTGTAAATTTAGAGGAAATTTATATAAACGGGGCATGCGATATAAATTATTTTATTAGGTGTTGAAAATGTCCACCATTAACTTCATGACAATATTCCAATAAGTTTAAAACCCCTTCCAAAAGATTACTAAGGATATTTTCATTAATGTTGCTTACTTAGTATCTAATTCTAAATTTTAAAGATTTTAAATTTTGTAGATTTTCCTTATACACTTTCGCTGGAGATCTTGCAAGTCATTCTATTGATCACTTTTTACAAGTCCCCTGTATATACCCTATTTAAATATTCACGCACTTGCGAGCAAAATGGAACGAAGCACCATCCTGTTGAAACCAAATTTGTCTATGTGGCATATTAGGCTGATCTGGATTTGGGTGAAAAATTGCCGGAGTAAGAATTAAGTCATCAAGATTTTAATAGAAAAAATAGGGCCCAATACTTTTGTTATTCAACAAAACATTTATGTTTTTATCTATCTAT